TGAGCCCACCACGGTAGGGACTGACTGCGTATCACCTTGTGGCATCTCTTCAGTGGCGTGGCTTCTCAAAGCATCACTACTGGCAGCCTCACGTGGCGGGGTTCTTATTAGGCTGCTGTGAATTATACGTTCAGTTTTCCCTACACTGCTGGAGAGTTGAACCTGGAACCTCACGCGGGCTCGGTGAGTGCTCTGCCACAGAAGTACATCTCCAGACCATCTTCCAGTTGTTTTTATTTTGAGACAGGGTCAGGCTGACCTCAAACTCACAGAGATCCTCCTGCCTCAGCTTCCCAGAGTGCTGGGATGACGGGTGTGTGCTGCCACACCTGGCCTTGAATTATACTCTTCTGTTTCCAAAATCACATTTTTTTTTTACTACTCTCTTATATTGGAAACTTAGTGCACGCATGTTCTACCATTTTGCCTTTTTTTCTGCTCTCCTGAGCTATCTCCCCGGCCCCTAATTAGAAGTTCTTTTAGGGGCAGCAGTATGGCTGCATCTCCTAAATTCACTATACAGTATTTTTACCAGTGTCTAATCCCAATGGTTCCCAGTGATGTTGTAATGTCTTCTTTAGCCCACATATGATTTTAAAGTGGTTTTGTTTTGCTTTGTGGTACACATATGTTGGTAGAAATCAGTAGCTTAGCTCTCTTCTGATTGCTTAGTTATTGAATTGAATTGTTGTCAAGGAAAATGGCTTTTCTTTTTACTGATGTGCTTTCTCGCTTTGTTCCTCTCCAGCACTTTCCATCCTTCCTTACTGAGCTGAGAAAGCCCACCTATTCAGCAAGGGACACGAGTTTCTTCATTCTTCGTTCCTTCATGTCTTCTCTGCGCTACTACTGGATTGAATTTGCCTTATCCTCTAAAAGAATTACTTGCTAAAAGTGAATTAGTAGCTAATTAAATTTGTTTGAATGTAGGTGTACATTATCCTAACATTTTAATAAAAAAAGACTCTAGGTACAGTATATAATTATAAATTGGCAACTATTTTACCTAGTAATTTTAAGGATGTCTTTACAATGTTTTCTAATTCCTTTTTCTTTGAAAATCATTTGTCTTTTTCTCTCTGCTATATTAAAAATATGTCCTTCTGATGCTTTAAAGTTTTAGTTTGCACAAATGTGACAAGGGATTTATTTTTTGCTTCATTCCCTATACTTGAGGTGTTTAACTCTGAGGATTTATAACTTTCATAAGTGATGAAATTTTTCTGCACATTATTTCATTGAAAATTGCCTGTTCTCCATTTTCCATCTCTTTCCTTCTAGAAAGCATATGAAATAATGAAAGAAAGACAGCAGGAGAAGAAAAGAAGAAAGGAAGGGGGAGGTTGAGTTTGGCATAAAAAAACCAAGTCCGGGCCGGGGCTCCCAAGCCCAGAGCTGCGCAGGCTGCGCTGGCGGCCGCATGCCCTCCTTCAGGTCTGCTTCGCGCTCACGTCGCTCGGAGCTCCAGCTCACGGGCAGTCACCTCTCTTTGGGCCACTGGGAATCTCACATTTTTTTGCAAGTTCAGTCATGCACACTAAAATAGTATTTGTTATGTTATATGGGAGGCTTCCGGGTGGAACTCTCTCCAGAATGCGAGGCTCATAGTACTTCAGGAAGTGGAAATCACGCCTAAACCTTCAGGGGGAAAGTGTTCATGGTACTAACAAGGCTGGCCCACTGTATGCAGGCGCACAGTCCTTGACATCTTTAACAAATATGCCTGCTTGAAAGTGGGATCCAAAGCAACTGCCTAGTTGGCAAAATATGCAATTGTTTGTCAATGGTTTGAAGACGTTCTCCATAGTTCTCATGAATTAGCATTTACTTTAACATTTCAAACTCTCTTAAAACTTTTATAATGGGTTGCTGAAGGCAGTTTTATTATTCACTTTTATTGGTTTGTTTCCATCGTTCTCATTTTTTCTCTCTTGTGATAAACGGAAACAAAAGGAGCGTGTGTATGTCAGCTCAGTACAAGGAGAACAGTGAGGGTAGGCGCGAACCTCGACTCTCGAGGCGGGCCTTGCGCAAGCAGCTGCCCTCCCGACCTGCTACACCTAGCTCCAGACGAGACACTTTTGTTAAATGCTTTTATAGAGATTATGCCGTTAGGATGGCCGGAAGCATGGAGACCCTGCACCAAAAGCTGACCTCCCTTTGTATATTTGGGGACTTTGTGTTTCTCCTCATTTTTCTCCTGAGTAACTTGGTCATTATAGCAGCCACTGCCCACAGCTGGCTCCTCGCAGTCCCACATTGGTTCCTGGTTTTGCTTTCCTGAGAAGTATACAAGCGCTTCCTGAGGAGAACCACACCCAGGACTCTCTCGCACGGGTTTTCATCAGAGAGCAGGTGCACGTGAGAGCCAAGCACACAGAGAGATAAACGGCCAATCTGCCTCGGTAGCAGCTCCACCCGGCACATGCTGGAGGTGGAAGCAGCGCATGTTTATGAGATGCACCAAGTCCAGTGCTTAGTTACAGCCCTTGCTCACAGAAAGAGTGGCGGAAGGGCTAGAGTGGGAAGAAACCTGAATCCTTATCCATTAGTTGCAAAGCAAAACAAACAAACAAACAAACAAACAAAAAGCCCAAGGGAAGAAGGGCAGGGAATGAGTATATTACTATTATAGTGATTCTTACTGTAATTTTCCATGCACGCCTAGAATTTTCCAACTGTCCCGTAGCTGGAAGTAAGTTACTCAGCAAGTGGCATGTGTCAGGCACTGTCCCAAGCATTTTGTGTAGAGCAGTAACAATGCAGAGGAGTATCCCTGCCCTCTTGGAGCTTATGCTGTAGTTATCAGAAAGAGAGAAATAAATACAGAGCACATAAGTACATACACGCAGAATGTAGAGCACATCAGAAGTGTGTGTGATGGAGAAAGCCAGAGCAGCAGAGGGCCAGGGGATGCGCTGGGAGAGTGTCATTCTCAGTAGAGTGGCCAGGGAGAGCCTTGCTGCGCAAGTGACAGCTGAGCCAACACAAGTGGAAAGAGTGGGTGGCGAGGACCCTGGGGTGGGGACACCCCAAGTGGAGAGAACAGAAAGCAGAGTGAGCAGACAGGAAGGAACTGCTGGTGTCCAAGGAACGGCGGGAGGGCGCCACGGCAGGAGTGGGTGAGGGAGGACCTCCAGACCTGTCCTCAAAGGGACACTCTGCCTTCACATTCCAAGGCTTCTTGTTAGAGGTCAGAAACCACACATGAGTTGGATCTAAGCAAGCGACTTAAAGCTGCATTGGAATTGTGTTCTTTTTCTGTTGTCTATGAGTGTACGTTTATAGGATGCAGCAATTGCATTCCTCCCAGGCTGGGGGTGCACACACATGGCGCTTCTTCATTCTTCTTTCCCACAGTTCTCCCCACTGTCTCCACCTTTAGTCCCTTTCCATTTTGTAGAACATCTATCCCCCCATGTCCTACCATCTGCCTTTTATGGTCCTCTGTATGTATACTCTGAAGTTTCCATATAAAAGAACGCATGTGATGCTTAAGCTTGTAAGTCCGATTTAATTCACCTGATATTGTGGCCTCGAGGTGCACCTGCATTCTTACAAATGGCTCAACTTTCTCTTTCTTTACAGCAGGGTAGTATTCCATTGAGTGTAAATACCACACCTTCTGTACCCTTCTATTGATGGTCATGGAACCCACTCCCAAGATTCAGCTTTTGTGCATTTTCTGCTATAAACACAAAAGTGAATTAAATTGTTTTTTTCCAAACTTCAAAAAAAAAATGAGACCAGAAACCTATAGAGGCAGAGAAAAGCCACTGGCAGGAACTTTGTGGTGGAGATGAGAAGTTGGCGCAAGGACTGCAAGCAGAAAATGACAAAGCTGGAAGGCACTGGGGTGGAAAGCAGGTTTTTAAAAGAAAATTAAGGCATGTTTTTATATTAATTGGAGGAAATCAGGAGAGAGATAATGGATGAATGAAATATATGAAAAAGAGAGAAAAACGGTTGTGGAGTCCAGATTAGGGGCAAGGGAAAGAAAAGCAGTGAGAACAGGAGG